GGCAAATGCGTAAGCCTGGGCACTGCAAATAAGATGAGCTGAATGCAAGTATTTTATTATTGGATGAGAGAGCTTTTAAGAAAATATAATTAACGCATAGAACGCAAATAATCCATAGTGTCGCATTATACAGACAGGCAACAAGACGGACATTGCATTTCACTTTCGTGAATGAGTATAAAAAGAAATGGTCCCAAACGACTGCCCTGAGGTAGTCTTGAAAAAACAAAAACAAGTTTTGAAACGGCAGTACTACCTTTCAAATATAATGAAATCCATGACACAAGTTAAGGGTGAAATCCTAAGCGATCAATCTTTAGAATTAAAATGTTATGATGTACAAAATCCAATGCTTTACAGAAATCAGTATAAATAACAGCATTTTGCATTTTATTTAAAAAGCTATTATTAATTAGAGAGGAAAACTCTTGTAGGTGTGTCGAGGTAGATTGATTCTGAACAATAATATAGTTGGGTTGATGTTATTATTTTTCGAAATATTTTGTAATATCAGATTGTTTTGCTATCCCTCTATAATTTGAAATATCAGTTCTCCCACCTTTTTTATGTAAAGGAATGATGAAGGATTCTTGCCGTATAGAGGGAAAAACAGAAGTCTCTAAAGACAAATTAATATGCTATAGAATATTAAGTGCTACAGTGACGAGCAAAATTGTAACACGAATTCAATGTTGCAATTTCAAGGGTCTGTATTTATGCTTCTACTCTATAGATGTTTAAGATCTTAATATTATTTTGTTAGTGCTAAAGATATTTGGCTTAATGTTTGCGTTGCAATGCCAGCGAGAGTAAAAACGTTGTGGTTCGGATAAAGGTTTAATAAAGAGTAAAACATAAACATAATAATGTTAATTACATTCTTCGTATGGTGTTGCCAGATTACATGTATGCTTATGTTAATGCTAATTTCAATTACATTTTCAACAGTTAGTAGGATATTTAGCTCTCTTACCTGAAAATTTGGAATTATTCGGTTGGCTGGAATAAATATAAGAATTAAAAATGTAAAGAAAGTCAAATGTTACAGTTTTGCACTTTTTTTGCATTTTCCAACAAATATATTTATTAACATGGCGCTTTTGATTTTTACAGTTCATTAATGCCATTTGCCATTATTTTTGTGTACTGTCGCACCATTTCAGAAGGAATCGCGCACAAAATATCCTTGTTCCTCTCCCATAGCTCTATAATTCGCAGGCTGCGATTTCACATAACTCCATATATTTTCAATGAAATTCATGTCTGAAGATTGCTCAGGACACTTCAGGGACTTGAATCCATGCCATATTATATACTTTTCGATCAAATAGGACGTGTTCTTTAAGTCATTGTGATGCAATTTTCAGTAGTAAGACCCATATGTTCACTTAATCCTCCAAAATTCTTTTGTAAAGTGATCAGGTATTACTCCTGAAACGTTAATCCATCGATTAAAACCAAGGGTCCAGTATAGTCTTTGTTTGTACTCCCCTAAACCATAAGAGTGCTGCCACCGCGCTTGACAGCTTGCCTTACTGAACTGTTACAGTCAACAGACTGGACTGTAGGATCTCTAAGCCAATGCCAGGATTGTCCATATGACTTGAAACGGTTAATACGGCGAGATGTTGACTGTAACAGTCCAGTAGTCCTGTCTTAAACATCTGTAGAGTAGAAGCAAAAATACAGACCCTTGAAGGTGCAACATTGAATTCGTGTTACAGCTTTGCTCGTCACTGTATATGTATTATGCTAGAATAGTATAGTAATATGCTAAACTGACAGCACTTGTTACGAGCAAGATCGAAAAATATATATGAGCACTTGCGTTACTAAAACTTTCCGTGGGTGCTTCCCGTTTGCGCTGTTGCTGCAATTTACATGCAAACTTAGGAAGAAGAGGATCAATGCCAAATTGTGCATTTATTCAGTGCCATTTATAGCAAGAAGTAGCTATAGTTCACTTAACGTTCGTTGTAATCTACCTCCCTCCGCAAAACCAGACGCCTGCGCCTTAATAGATGCACACATATCTTCATATCATATTATCACTGTTCAAGCATGAAAAGCATGGCTCCTGTCAGTATTTTCAAGCATGATCATGTCAGAAATATGTATGGTTTAGTACCTCGGCTTAACTCTTCACCGTAGACTCAATTGGAAGGTTTACATCAAGTCTAAGACGAAGAAGATGCATTGGCGTATCGGTCACAAATCGTAGCTTAGCACATCGAACAAGATACTGCCATACAAGTCTTTACTAAAGCCCGTATGAACATACGGCATCAAATTGTGGGGCACAGCGTGTCACTCCAATGTAGAAACTCTCCAAAGATTTCAAAAGTTTCTATCATTTTTCTACGTAGATTGATAAGTACCTTATTCTATGTTCGAAACTCTGTGCTTCATAGAGACCTAAAAACCCCATCAGTCCACAAGGAGGTTCTGAGTTTCGGAACCCGTCATCTCGACAGACTCTGCAGACACCCTTTTACGGTTTGCCACGCCCCCTGTGGGCGGACATATATCCGACAAAGCTTTTTGGTGTTGGGTGATCAGCCCGAGTATATATACAAAATTTTAGATCTCTGGCATCAATAGTGTCCAAAATATAGCAGAATTCGAAAAATCACTATATCTTCAGGTCCGATTTGCCACGCTCTTAATGGGCGTAGACTTATAACTTTGTCTGTAGACTTTATAAAATCATAACATTAGCTGACATGCAAAATTTCAGCATTCTGGGTTTACATGTTTAAGAGATACAGTTTTATCCGATTTGCCACGCCCCCAATGGGCGGAGATATATCCGATATAGCTCGTGATCTTGGGTGGTCGACGCGGACCTACATACCAAATTTCAGCTTTCTAGTTCTTTAACTAACATGATTTCTGGTATATCGGAAAATGCATTTTCCGATTTGCCACGCCCCTAGTGGGCGGATCGGGAAAATTTTAACACTTTATAAATCGGAGATATAGTATGAGTATGTGTTCCAAATTTCAAGTCTCTAGCTTCAATAGCGCCGAAATAGATTGCGTTCATACGGACAGACGGACGGACGGACAGACGGACGGACAGACGGACGGACAGCAAGACGGACATTGCACAAAACCAATATACTGATTCACTTTCGTGAATGAGTATAAAAACTATCTTCATAGGCTAAAAAGACTGCACCCTGTGGATCAAGCCTGATTGTTTTTTTTAATGCCTCGTATATTATACTTATCCAAATGGACAGATTTTAAATTCAAACAAGTAAAAAGCTCTAGTCGAGACTGCTCGATTACGAGATCCCCTGAACCCTTCGAGCAACTGATATTTCAATAATTATTCGCACATGCACACACACACACACGGAAATATGCACGCATTGGCTGCAGTGGTGGCTTACTAAGGAAAATTAATTGTTTAATAACTTTTCTTGTGGATGGACTATCTTCATGAAACTTTTAGATTATGAATAGATATACATGTAATTTGCCAAAGCACAAGTCTCTAGTATTTGAAATTCGCTCTTTATAAATATGTGGGTGAGGGGTGAATATTGGGGTGGGAGTAAATTTTGACAAACATCGAAATTCTGTAAAGTATATATGAATCTACATTTAAAATTTTGCGACTATAGCTTTAAAGATGTAGCAGATATAAATTTATTACTGGTTTTCGATAGATTTTAATCGATAACAAAATAACGGGGCAAGTTCTCAACTTTTAAGGACCTAGGAAAAAAATATTAAATAAAAATTATATTTTCTGAGATCGACGCGTTCAAACATACGGACAGACGGACAGTGCTAAATCGACTCAGCTCGTCGCCCTGATCAAGAATATATATATATATATTTTATGCGGTCTGACACGCCTCCTTCTGCCTGTTATATACTTAAAAAAAAAAAAAAAACATACAACAAGTAAGAAAGCTCTAGTCGAGACTGCTCGACTACGAGATCCCCTAAATACTTCGAGCAACTGAAATTTCAATAATTATTCGCATATGCACACATACACGCATACACACAGACATACGTGCGCACGCAGAAACACGCGTTAGCTGCAGTGTTGGCGTACTTGTGGATGGACTATCTTCAGATTATGAATATAACATAGATATGCATGTATTTGCCAAAGCACAACTCCCTAGTATTTGAAATACGCCTTTTACAAATGTGAGGATGTGGTGGTGAATTCGGGGTGGGGGGTAAATTTTGACAAAGCCCGAAATTGTATAAAATGCATATAAGTATACATTTAAAGTTTGGAGACTAGCGTTAAAGGTGTAGGATATATAATCTTATAACTAGTTTTCAATAAGGTTTTTTTTATGGATAAAAAAATAACGGGTTGAGCTATCGATTTTTGTTGATAAACTCGATATCCGCGCTGTATATACGGACATTTAAAAAAATTTGAAGTTTAGCTCTTATATCTTCTGAAATCGACGCGTTCATGCATACAGACAGACGGACAGATGGACAGACGGACGGACGGACAGGGCTAAATCGTCTCAGCTCGTCACCCTGATCAAGAATATATATACTTTATGGGGTCTGCCACGCCTCCTTCTGCCTGTTACATACATTTCAACAAAAGCATTGTACCCATTTCCCATTTTCAATGGGTTCAGGGTATACAAATAAATTATTTAGAGTTAATATTTTAAACAAATGGCAAATATGGAGTAGTTCAATTTAGCTCTCTAACGAAAGTTTAATAAAAATAGTTCATGTACCGAATATCTACAGACATATAAGTCAATACTGCAGCCCATGCGTATTTATGTCTGCATGTGTATGTCTGTGTATGTGCATGTGCTGCTTCTTGTGTAAGCGGAAAAGAAGCGGAGAATTATTAAAATATCAGTTCTTCGAAGGGATCAGAGGGTCTCGTAGTTGAGCAGTGTCGATAAGAGCTTTCATATTTGTATATGCTAAGATATAAATAATACGATTGATCAAATTAAACGTTATTTAACTAACCTGCCTTTATTGTTTAGGTGTGTGTTGAAGAAAAATGTCAGGAGGAAGTAGTTTTACTAGCAATTACCTACATGGACCGTTTTTTATCTAAGAAATCTGTGCGAAAAACTCATCTACAAATTTTAGCAGCAGCCTGTTTATTACTTGCTTCAAAACTGCGCGAGCCCAGCTGCCGAGCACTTTCGGCAGAACTACTTGTATTTTACACGGACAACAGCATATGTAAAGATGATCTAATAGTAAGTAAAAACACACTAATTTCACTAATTTAACATGTGTTAGTTACTATATTAGCTGTTAGATTTTATATATGCATCTACAAAGTGAATATCATAAACAAGGAATTAAGTTTTGAAAGATAATTGACAATTGCGAGTAAAACATGCCTTACACACCATTTATATATGAGTATGTTAGGTTTGCTATACACCCTGAATCATACAAGATAGTATACATTTTAAAAAAAGTAAAAACGTATTGTTTAGTGTATGAATATTATGTGTGAATGTGTTTATTCCATGATATGCAAATAACTGTTAACCGTTTTTATACTCATTCACGAAATTGAATCAGTATATTGGTTTTGTGCAATGTCCGTCTTGCTGTCCGTCCGTCTGTCCGTATGAACGCAATCTATTTTGGCGCTATTGAAGCTAGAGACTTGAAATTTGGAACACATACTCGTGTATATCCGATTTATAAAGTGTTAAAATTTTCCCGATCCTCCCACTAGGGGCGTGGCAAATCGGAAAATGCATTTTCCGATATACCAGAAATCATGTTAGTTAAAGAGCTAGAAAGCTGAAATTTGATATGTAGGTCCGCGTCAACCACCCAAGATCACGAGCTGTGGCGGATATATCTCCGCCCATTGGGGGCGTGGCAAATCGGATAAAACTGTATCTCCTAAAGTTGTAAACCTAGAATGCTGAAATTTTGCATGTCAGCTAATGTTATGATTCTATAAAGTCGAAAGACTTTATAAGTCTACGCCCATTAAGAGCGTGGCAAATCGGACCTGAAGATATAGTGATTTTTCGAATTCTGCTATATTTTGGACACTATTGATGCCAGAGATCTAAAATTTTGTATATATACTCGGGCTGATCACCCAACACCAAAAAGCTTTGTCGGATATATGTCCGCCCACAGGGGGCGTGGCAAACCGGAAAAGTTTATATCTCCTACAGTTTAAGAGCTAGAAGCTTCAAATTTGAATAGTTGAGTTACTGGTAGCCTCCTCTATCGATTCTCCAAAAAATAATTTTTACGCCTCTTTAGGGGCGTGGTATAAAAGAAAAATACCCTGTAATTTTCACTTTTTTTGAGAGTAAGCATTTAAACTTTGCAGTTAGGGTACCGTTATCTCGTTCTAAAAACTGACCAAAAATGAGGTGTCTACGCCCGGTTGGGGCGAAGAGCGAAACTTAACTACTAAATTGTTGATGGGATGTGAATGAGTATTCCGCAGTCGGTAACGCCCGACTGCAACGTTCTTACTTGTTTTCTTTACGCTCTGTTCGTAATCGAAACCGAAACAAGTAAGAAAGCTCTAGTAGAGACTGCTCGACTACAAAATCCCCTGAACCCTTCTAAGAACTGATATTTAAATAATTCTTCGCGTCTTTCTGCTTATACAAGAAGCGCATACGCACAGACATACATAGGCATGCACGCATGGACTGCAGTGTGGGCTTACTATGGGATGTTAATTGTTTAATACTTTTTTTTTTGTCGATGAACTATCTCCATGAGACTTGTAGATCATGATCAAAACATTTTAATGCGTGCAATTCTCTAGTATGTATTTAAAATACGCCTTTTACAAATTTTGTACAAAGGGGCATGGTATCCAAAATCTGTAAATTAAACAGTCGTTGTATTCATCAATAAAGCACGATAAAGTCAGTGTACACGCATTTATAAACATGATTAAATATAATAGTATATAAATGTACGTATATAGTTTAAATGTATGTATGTACATCTGCGTAAAGTGGATATAGACCAACCAACCAGCGGCAAGTTTTGGGTTTTACAATTTGCACAGGCAGCATGAGTTGCGCACATAGACACACAAATGCTCATATATGAAATTTTGTGTGCTAACGCTCGTCGCTATTCTTTATACGCCTGAAAGCGTTGTTTCATACCATTTCTAGAAATAATCATGAAAACGCTAACATTTTGTATGAGCGTGGCACACGCTTTTTAGATTTCGCTATACCCTTCAATCAAAAGAAATGAGCTGGGATCGTCGCAAACAATTTTCAATTTCTGTGCGCTGCTACTTATTGAGAGACCATAGAGAGAGAGAGAGAGTATAAAGAGAGGGAGAGAGAGTAAGGCGAAAAGAGCGCATAACCGTACCATACGCAGTACAAGTTTAACATAATCTTTCGATAACTCATCCGATTTATTTTTTATCGACAACAATCGATAAATTGATTTCGTTTTATAAGCGTAATTTGAATACAATTAGACCTAGAGCACTGACCAAACAACACATAGACTAGACATGTAGAGCAACGCTTTTCCACGCCGCAACATCTGTCTAGCAGGTCCCGGCCAACTTCGTATTCACTCGGCTTGGTATTGGATGGCTCGGGTAATGAAAGATAGCACGACGAAATCAGTGTGCTCTAAACACGCAAGCGAAATGGTCTTGTATGCGCTTTGCGTTTTTTGTCTTACTCTCCCTCTCTCTCTCTAACTCTCTCTCTCTCTCTCTCTCTCTCTGTGGGCTCTCAAATCATGAAGCTCAGCAGCGCACAAAAATTGAAATTTCTTCGCGACGGTCCCAGCTCTTTCCTTTTGAGTGAAGAGTATACCGAGATCTTAAAATCGTTTGCGACATTCATGCGAACAAAATGTTAGCGTTTCGATATATATTTATGGGAAGGGTATGAATGCGTTGAGGCGCATAAAGAATATGATCTCGCGACGGGCATGCACACACACACTTGTAGTCCCTTGCTACATGTATGAGCATTTGTGACCTGCGTGCGTTACTCTTGCTGCTTGTAGCAATTTTAAAGCCCAGCATTTGCATTTGGTCGGTCTTACGGACTGTCATAACCACTTTACACAGATGTACTATGTATGAACATACGCGTCATCAGGTTGTGAAGCTCAAAGTATTCAATATATTTATAGTATGGGTAAAGAAACAGTTTTAACTTTGGTTGAAAATCAAAGATAGTTTAAATCTGGACTATGCTACCATAAAATTGCTGAAAAAACAGGAAAAAACAGAAAAATAATTGGCAATTTTCTTACAAATAGGGAAAACTATGGAAAAAACTATATAAGCGGCAATAATCAAGTGATTTCAGAAGGAAATAGAAGAGCATTAGTTCGGGAAGCTTCGAATTCCCACGAATCAACCACCAAGATTAGGGATAAAATCAGTGTTAAGACGAGCTTATCAACGGTCCAAAGAGCAATTAAGAAAGTTAATTACTTAAAGAAACAGAGTGTAAAAAAAAAGACACCAGTCGATATGCTGAGAAAAGAAATACGTATTAATTTTGGCCGGGCGAACATGACGTGGTCTATCCAATGGCAGCCTGTTGTCTTTTCTGATGAGAAAAATTGAATTCGGAAGGAACTGATCGCTATAATTATTATATCCATGACCTACTCATAAAAGAACATTGTTTGGAACGGTTTCCAAGCCGCTGCGGCGGGGGGGTGGTGTGGCATTGGTGTAGGTATCAATATCTTACTACAGCACATGCAAGCTTCAATTTTTGACATCGCGCATGAATGCATAGGACTATAACATCGTGTTTAAAACTGCTGTTCCGCATTTCTATAACCTGTCTGAAAACCGGCATTCAATTTTCCAGCATGATAATGCTCCAATTCAGACCGCCCGATCTCTGAAGTTTCAGGGCCAAAAAATTGATCTCATGGAGTGGCCACCATACTCACTCGACCTTAATATTATTTGAAACGTCTGGGGATGGTTGGTCAGGAAAGTATATGAGTCCGGAAAGCATTATAGTACAAAGACAGAGTTAATCGAAGGTACTGAACACGCTTGGTCAACCATATCCTTGAATAATATTTAATAATATTTTAAAAATAATAATAGCATAAAATACAGGTGATATTTTTGGTCATTGACTTAAATAAATTGAATTTAGCGCAGGGGGCGCTAATCTGATGACCAAATTTTTGTTACATTTTTTTTGTAAATTTTACAAAAAAAATTATTAAAAATGATTCCCTATTGTTACAGTAGCCATTGTTTTTTTATTTTAAAGAGAAATAGATGTAGTATAATACAAAAAAAAAAAAATAAATAAATAAAATTAAAGATGAAGCTCTGATGGTTTAGCTTTTATTCTGCTTTGAGATATAGTGTAAAGGGGGGCGCTGACCTGATGACGCGCAGTGTATGTACATAAGTACATTTATATATTATTATTGCTAATCATGTTTATAAATGTGTTTATATCCGTAAATAATTATATATAATTAAAATTATTTTATACACATTTTCAACTGATAAAATGATCGTAAAACACTACTAACATTATTAAATGCTTTGCAATATATGAAATACACATGTCATATCATACCAGAGCTTGCAAATGAGAGTTGATCGTTTTTTTTCGTTTATGCTCTTCTTCGCATCATAACCAAAAAAATTGTGCAGACACGTCTCGCTCTGAGCGTCACTCTTTGTTTTCTTTATAATCTGTTTCGCTCAGTCGCAATGCAATGACTCATTCGTGTGACGCTCTCACATGAGTGTCGCGTAAAACTAACACGATTTTCCCTCACACAAAGACTCTCAGCAAAAAACACTTTGACTAAAAAACTCAGCAGAAATTGTTTTTGCCTTCGTGTGCATGTAAATACACGCATACATACATACAAAAAGAACGCAGCAATCGCGCGTGATTACCCATACAAACGCAACTTACCGTTTGCTTCATTTAACTCAAGCAAACGATCAGTGTTTGACTTGAGGAAAAGAAAACAGAAATAACTGTCTCCCTCAGAGCACGAGCGAGCTAAGCCAGACGCGACAAAAACAGTTTCTGTCTGAGTTTTTATACCCTGAACCCATTTTCAATGGGAAATCAGGGTATAATGGTGTTGTTGAAATGTATGTAACACGGAGAAGGAGGCGTGGCAGACCCCACAAAGTATATATATTCTTGATCAGGGTGACGAGCTGAGTTGATTTGGCCCTGTCCGTCTGTCTGTCCGTCTGTCCGTATGTATGAACGCGTCGATTTCAGAAGATATAAGAGCTAGAGACTTCAAATTTTTTTTAAAATGTCCGTAATTACAGCGCGCATATCAAGTTTATCATTAAAAATCGATAACTCATCCCGATCTTTTTTTATCGATAAAAAACCTTATCGAAACACAGTTATAAAATTATATCTTCTATACCTTTATTGCTAGAGTCTCCAAATTTTTAATGTATGCTTATATGCAATTTATACAATTTCGGTTTTTGTTAAAATTTACCCCCACCTCTAAATTCACCCCCTCACCCTCACTTTTGTAAAAAGCGTATTTCAAATACTAGAGACTTGTGCTTTGGCACATATGCATATTCATGTTATAATCATAATCTGAAAGTTTCATGAAGATCGTACGTCCACAAAAAAAGTTATTAAACAATTATGTTCTCATAGTAAGCGCACACTGCAGCCCATTCGTGTTTATGCGTGGTTGCTTGTGTGTGTATGTGTGTGTGTGTGTATGCGTTTGTGTATGTATGTGTGTGTGTGTGTATATGTGTCTGTATGCGTGTGTGTGTATGTATGCCTGTGTGTGCGTACGTGCGTGTGTGTGTGTGTGTGCGTGTTTCTTGTGTAAGCTGAAAGTCGCGAAAAAGTATTGAAATATCTATTGCTCCAAGGGTTCAGGGGATCTCGTAGTCGAGCAGTCTCGACTAGAGCTTTCTTACTTGTTTTGACTGTGTTAGTGAAAGACACTTATTTGCAGACAACGAAAAAGTGTTAACAGTTAATTGCGAGCTATGTATTATACTCAAGCTTTACTCATTATTGTCAAAAATTTCTAATTAAGTCATAATGGCCCATTTGATAGTCACCCTACGATTCAAATCATACAAAATTTATAAACTACTAAATCCAGAGACAATTAGCTTGCCATCCCATACAAGCATACACATACACAAATGTATGTATGCATGTGCTCAAGTCTAAGAGACTTGTGCTTTGACAAATAGGTACACACCTTTAATGTAGATTTATTCAACCAATAAGCTCCTATAGTATTGCCCGCACAGCAGTCCAACCGTAGTCTCGGCATACTACGCAATTAGCGTGCTTATGTCTGCCATGTGGATGCATGCGTATGTATGTATATATGCGTGAGTGTTTGTATGTGTGATTTGAATGTAAACCTTTTGCTGGGTTCACCAGTCGAGCAGACTAGAGCATTCTTACTTGTTGTTGGTTAATAAACCACTTATTTGTGTCTTAATTAAAGATTTTGAAATTGTATTATTTCATTCATTGCCAGAAGTGGGAGCTATACGTGTTGAGCAGTCTAGGCTGGGATTTATCATCCGTGACCCCCTTGGACTTTTTGGAGCTTTTTATCATTAAACTTTCTGTAAGATGTAAAGTTTTTTCTGGCTTAAACATCAACACAGTACGCAACAATGCTCAAACTTTTATATATCTTGCCGCTAAAGGTAAGTATAATAACATAAAAAATGCTATGTTTTTAACTTAGTTTATTTATTCATCTGTTCAAGTAATAGATCGTGTCAATTTTTGAATATTATGTAATGCGCGATCTTGTTGATTTGTTGATCACATCTAATTTTTCAACCCATTAATATCTGTATTATCTTTCATCTAATTACTTATTTATAAATTAATAAGAAACTTTAACACTATAAATAAATCGACGATTATTATTTAAGTCGCATTCATTCTTAAAGTAAAGTGTATATTGTCAATCTTTCTCTCCGTCCGTATAAACGGAAAGTATTTCCCCTCTCTAATAAAGCTAGCTGTTTAGTTTTCTCAAATCAGGGTATAATGGATTTGTTGAAATGTATGTAACAGGCAAAAGGAGGCGTGGCAGACCCCCCAAAGTATATATATATTCCTGATCAGGTCGACGAGCTGAGTCGATTTATCCCTGTGCGTCTGTCTGCCTGTCCGTATATTTGAACGCGCCGATCTCAGAAGATATAAGAGCTGGAGGCTTGAAATTTGTTGTAAAAAGTCCGTATATAGAGCGCGGATATCAAATTCATCTTTAAAAATCGATAATACATCCCGTTATTTTTTATCGATTAAAAATCGTATCGAAAATCGGCGTGTGTGCTTATATGTGTCTTTGAGTGTGTGTGTGTATACGTTTATTGTGTAAGCAGAAAGACACGAAGAAATATCAGTTCCTCAAAGGACTCGGGGGATCTACTAGTCGAGCAGTCTCGACTAGAGCGTTCTTACTTGCTACACCTAGACTCATGCATATTTCCATTCCTTAAATATAGTGTATCTATTGCGGATTTTGTAAGAGCGCGTTAGGCTATTGATTAGTCTAGGATGAAGTTCCGCGTTCATCTCTTACATACTCTTATCAGAGGCTTAGGGTCATAGTTCATCTGCCAATTTATAGTGTCCTCCCCTTATCTTTTTATTTTATATTGCACTACCCGCTATTCGTTCAATGCGTAGCAGGCATATTTACGATCTTTGTATATTTGTATGCTTTTGCCAGAACATACAGTATGTCCATTAATTGTTTGCAAAACAAAAAAAGTCAGAATTTTTTTTTTACATTACTTTAGTTTCATATATTCTTAAAGAAAATAAATAACAAAAATAATAAAAATAGCAACAAAACATACAAAATAATTCAAAACAAAAAAAAACAGCAAATATCGGCTGTCCATTAATTCTTTGCAAAATGCAAACATTAATATTATGAGATCTGTATCTCTCTCAGATCGGTATGGAATTGGCTAATATTTGGTATGTTCACCATTAGCTTCCATTACACCTCTGAGGCGTCGCGACATCGACAATATTAGTTCATTTATGTCGTAGTATTCCGGTATTTTGCGCCACTCCTCGTGTATGCAACGAATTAGCTCGTTTTTCGTCTTAGGGCTCCGTTTGGCGACTTTTCTCTTTAGTAAAGCCCACAAATTCTCAATCGGATTGATATCCGGGCTTTGGGGTGGGGTGTCAATAACTTTGCTGCAGTTATAAAGAAGCCAAGTGCGACACAGCAGTGACTTGTGTTTCGGATCATTATCCTGATACAGCTTATATTTTAGTTTGCTGGGGTTTTCAGGATTAATGAAGCCAAAGTTGTGCGCGCTTTTTGTCAATTCGTTCTTCAAAATATCCAAATAAAATTCCTTCGTCATGATATCGTCGAATATTCTCAGCTCTCCCACACCTTTCGAAGAAATACAACCCCACATCATCACTGATAGCTTGCCAAACTTAACAGTGGGCACAATGTTTTTGGCGTGGAGGGCTGTTTTGGGTTTCCGCCAAACTTTTCCTGGGCCATCATTATAAAACAACATTATCTTTGTCTCGTCGCAAAAGATAACATTATTCCAATAGTTAGGAGGACAGTCAATATGAAGTCTTGCGAAGGTCAGACGTTTTTCAATATTTACAGCAGACAGCAACGGTTTCTTTCTTGCCACATGTGAGGAGTATTTGTGTAAATTGAGAACTTTTCTCACAGTCTCGCGACACACTGTCTTTTGAAGGTTTAACCTAATGTCCGTCACCAACTCCCGGAGACTTGTGTGTGGTTTGTTTTCCACTGTCTTAAGAATTTGAGAACAATCTCGTCGAGAGAGCTTTGCTGGTCTGCCTTTAGAGCTGTTTAGCTCCAGTCTATTTTCTTTTTCTGCCCGATTAATAATATTATAAACTGTTCTAAGCTTAATATTAAACATTTCAGCTAACTCCTTGATGGTTTTTCCTTTCATATAATTAAAATACACTAATTGTATCAAATTGTCATCGGTGCGTTTACCAGGCATTGCGAAAATTCAAATTTTATGAAAAATAGTAGTGATCCCACGACTTTATTATAACGAATGAATTCGCGGAAGACTTGTGAAAATAGACCCAGCGAGCCGCATTTAATTTTGATGTCCCGTTAGTTTTTTCCCGTCTTCTTTCAACTAATGTTTGCATTTTGCAAAGAATTAATGGACAGCCGATATTTGCTGTTTTTTTTGTTTTGAATTATTTTGTATGTTTTGTTGCTATTTTTATTATTTTTGTTATTTATTTTCTTTAAGAATATATGAAACTAAAGTAATGTAAAAAAAAAATTCTGAGAAAAAGTGCCTTTCCTAATAAAATATGATGTTAAAGTTAAATTTGTACGACTTTTTTTGTTTTGCAAACAATTAATGGACATACTGTATCTATATTTATCTTTTATCACATCGTCGTAAACACTATTTAATTTTGAGAATAATAATAGTGAAATATTAATAAACATATATTATGCTTTCATTTTAAACGATTATATAATTCGCAGAATATAGATTTTCCAAGTATGCGGCAAGCATAATTGCAGCGTCAAGTATTGTCGCATCAATGAATAACCTCAAATGGCAAATTTGTACGGATAACATACACTTGCCTTTTAACTTTTTGACCGACACGACAAGTGTAAAACAGGTTTGCCTAATATTAATGTATAAATCTACATATTGTGTTCATTATTTTTTTTATATTTTATTGTAGGATCAGCTTCAGCAGTGCATACTGCAAATGAACGTCATATATAAAGAGCAGAGTCACAAGTTTTAGCCGTTCTTTCTCGACGATTCTCACCGTAACCAATAAATGGATATTGTAATAGCTTATGATCAATTCAGTGTCATCAAAAGTATATTATAATCACCAAGAAGCGCGAATCGCAGAAACAACCACAGAAGGATTTGCAAGAAATACCATTTTTTAAATGAAATACAATTATGTAATCATATTTTAGTGCTTTATTGAGAAAGCTTGAGATTCATTTTGGCTGATATTTTAAAAATGAGAAGCTCAGAAAATGAATTCTTTTATTGAACCCTTCTCAAATTCGGTATGTCAATTATTCCGCGTCACATTTAGCAATCGTAAGCTATTGGCTCCGGCTGTCAGTATTTTTATACCCTGAACCCATTTTTAATGCGAAATCAGGGTATAATGGTTTTGTTAAATGTATGTAACAGGCAGAAGGAAGCGTGGCAGACCCCACAAAGTATATATATTCTTGATCAGGGCGATGAGCTGAGTCGATTTAGCCCTGTCCGTCTGTCCGTCCGTCCGTCCGTATGTTTGAACGCGTCGATCTCAGAAGATATAAGATCTAGCGACTTGAAATTTTCCTAGGTCCGTGCATAGCACACGCATATCGAGTTTTGCTTTAAATATCGATAACTTGCTCCGTTATTTTGTTATCGATTAAAATAACTATCGAAACCCAGTAATAAATTTATATCTGCTACATCTCTAAAGCTAGAGTCTCCAAGTTTTATATGTATACTTATATGCATTTTATACGATTTCGGGTTTTGTCAAAATTTACCCCCCACCTCTAATTCGCCCCCTCACCCTCACATTTGTAAAAGGCGTATTTCAAATACTAGGGACGTGTGCTTTGGAAAATACATGCATTTCTATGTTATATTCATAATCTGAAAGTTTCTTGAAGATAGTCGATACATAAACTATTAAACAATTAAGTTCCCATAGTAAGCCGCCACTGCAGCCAATGCGTGTTTATGCGTGCGTGCGTATGGGTGTGTGTGTGTGTGCATGTGTGAACAATTATTGAAATATCAGTTGCTCGAAGGGTTCAGGGGATCTCGTAGTCGGGTAGTCTCGACTAGAGCTTTCATACTTGTTGAAACTCCTATTGGCTAATCTGGTGTCTCATAACTACATCTTCCCCTCGTGACTGCTTTCGTCTTTTCTAATATCATTAAGTAGTAGTAGCGTCTTATTCAACGGTTCACGCTATTATGGGTCTTATCGTATCGTATTACAGAGGATGTAATTGCTGGCGATATCAATTTCTGGCTTATTAAAGAAGATGATTATAAAACTAAAATTAAATTATTTTATTATAAGACGGCACCCGTTAGGTGTAATATTTGTACGCGTTTAATATCCTAAAATAAAATAATACCATCTGTACTGTTAATGCCAGATCCCATTAACAGGAATTGCTCCTTCTGCACCATACTATGCCCTGTAGTACTGGAGGTGGCGATTGACCATAGTTGAACTACTTTAACACTTACATGGGTACTTACTTGACTGACCCTATGGAAGCGAACGCCGAACCACCAAGCAACAAAGTATATACATGAAACGGCAGAAAAAAACGGGGGAAAAACGGTACTATCATCACATATATTTTTGGTGTTTTGCGAATGGCGCATAGCTGAAGGAAAAAAATAATCTTCGCTTTCTGTTGCTGTTTCTTTCCTAATTTACAAAAACAATTGTTATGGTAGTACCGTTTCTTTTCGTTTATGCTTTCTGATCTTCCTCGATGTTCGAAGGTTGCTGCGTTCGTCGGTTGCGCAAATACAATCACAAGCATTGCAAGTGAAGCTCTGAAGCAGCAACAATCGTAAATATTGCCACACAATTTAAGCAAATTAAAATTAATTGATGTGTAGTGAAAGGCATTTAAGAAGGCTGAAGCAGGAGCAGAAAGCAAAATACGTAAACAAATTATTGCCGCGACATTAGAAAACACGCCTGGAAAGGGAGTTAAAGTTGAGGAAGTATTAAATGTGATAAACATTGACAGTGGCATAAATAATAAACTCGAAGAAAAAGAAATTAATAATTTAAATAAACAGCTAAAATTGTGGTTCCTAAAGCATAGGCCGTGGCGTGACTGCGCGATTGATTTAGTTAAAATATTGAAAAGCCATAATTTAGATGTCGAGAAAGTGGCCCAGGAAAAATTTGATATTCTTGTGAAAGAAATTCATTCTTTAAGAGGTATAAAAATGATTTAATGAGCTTTTAGTTAAATAAACATACTTATATATATTCAATCTAAATATATTAAAATTTAGCTGACCAAAAAGTGACACAGTAAAAAATCGAGGTCCTTGTAATTTTAAAATCTTAAAAATATTATGGCTGATCCTGTAGTATTAGCATACAATGTTGATGGCGTTCAAGGGAAAGCTGCCTTGAAAAATAGAGCGCTTTTTATGAAGTATTAATTGGTAGGTATTATTTAATTCATTGCCGATTTAATTACTAAATTTAATCTTCACATATTTCCCCAGATGCAATAAATTTGGTTAATGGCAGTGGATCATCTGAAGAACTGCGAAAGGCCATGCAGCTGCAGAAGAAGCGTTTTTTTTTTTTTTTAACAATAGCGTGAACACAAAAAATTGAAAATGAAACGGTTTCAATGTAAAAACATGTATTTTGAAATCTATCTATATATATAAAAGAGAGTTGTGTAAAAGTGCTCCTCCACTTATAAATCGAGATCTGCTGGACCAATTTTCATGGTTTTTGATTTGTTGGATTTGTCTCCGCTACGAGTACGATAGTAGATCTTAAAAATACTAAAAAAATTTGACGAATACTTGAAAAACGCGGTTTTTTCCCTAAAGATTCAAATTTCCATTGGTACTCAGTAGGCTTGATTGACAGTTTTCGGTCAATAGTATAGAAGTAAATAAACAAATGTAGTCAGTCAGTCTACGGCACAGCCTCAGGCGAACTATACATAAAAAAAGCACATTTGAGAAAAATAATACGCGTGCATACAGAAGCTAAATATCTCGAAAGTTCAGGTATTTGTTTGTCTCAAACATAAATTTGTGTAAATTATTTATATTTATATTTCTCGATTGTTTTATGTGGTTTTGTGCGAGGGCATATTCAGTATTACTATTAATAAAAATGCCGCGTCCTAAAAGATCTAATCTTTTCCGGCGGACCCATAATGCAATTAGGAATCGGAATATCGCGAGTAAATTATCTGACGAAGAACGAGAAATCGCCCGAGAAAGGCCCCGCGTTAGTACCCAACAAAGAAGGGCCTTAATTCGTGCTTCTCAAAGAGAGGCTGCCCGTGAAACGGCAATAAGAAATGGTTCAAGGATTGATTTGAATCGAGCAGCGTTTCGATATGATTGTTGGTGAAACGCCCGGTTTGTGCTGCCTTAGTGGTCCCGCCACCAGAGCCATTGCGTTCCCTGCTTTATGGCGAAACACTAGAATCACGACATTTTCTAGCGAGCACTCAAAAATACAATGCCTGTTTCCAAATGACTTCATTTGGGGCGGAAATTATTGGAAACGGATATAATCCGACATTTAAGGTAATTTACGTTAAAAATTTTATTTTCTATGATTGTAAAAAAAAAAAAAAATTGGAATAGATTTCTGTAAAAAGTGTTTGTAAATCTAACTATAACTATGGCTTTGAATTTAAAGAGTCAAGGCCAGATTTGCCATCGCATTGGATCATTGCAACCTATTGAAATTCTTGCAAATATACTTCATGGGCAATATGGAAGAACAACTTGACCGGCGTCAGAAAATCAACACAGCTATGAAAAGAGCAATTCTCCAAGATTGGTCAAGCTGTTCAAGACTGCTTTAGAGCGCATGCCAAGAGATGACTATAAAGTAGTAATCAGAGCAGATAAAAGACCAGCTGGAACACATGAACGCACATATAATGCTCCAACAATCGATGAAGTGGCAATCCTGATTGTTGGTGAAAGCTTGGAAGCACGCAATATTGTGCTTACACGACGCAGTACTGGGCAACTGCAAAGAATATCTGAAACGCACCGTTCATATGACGCTTTGGCAAGGAGACGATGGATATCACTTTAATATCAAAATGATTAATCCATTGAATGGTAAAATCCAGCAGCAGAGGCACGGATCTTGGAAACGGTGGAAACACCTACCATTCAAAAGAGACAAGCCCCTAGCCCCCTAGAGTCTGAGTCCGGCAAAAAACTTTGCAAGGGACAACAGAACTTGTGGCAAAAAGTCACCAGAAAAGGGACTTTGAAACAAAGAGCGGAAAAGACTACTTCGGCACCCGCAGAAAAGCCGAAAGTAGTAAAACAACCAGCAAAAAAAGAGAAGAAGAAACCTCCCCGTTCAGAAGCAGTCCTCATAAAACCTGAAAGTGGACAAAGCTACGTAGATGTTTTACGAAACATACGCAGCACAATCCAACAAGACGAAAAGGCAAACGTGAGAGGCATAAGAAAAACCCGATCCGGGGCACTCCTTGTCGAACTGAGCAGAGGGGAAAAGTTACATCCAGAACTAGTTGAAAAACTAAAGGCTACCATTAAAAAAACAGCTACGGTAGCCGAGTTAAAGCCTACAGCGACAGTGGAGATCCGAGATCTAGACTCACTAACTGTAGAGTCTGAGGTGGCTGAGGCAGTGCGACAAGTCCTTGATAATTCATCAGTGGACTTGCGCATAAAAGTCACTGCCCCAAACAGTCGAGAGCAAGTAAGGGCCTTTGTAACTTTAGAAAGCCAATTAGCGGAGACGTTGCTGAGCTCAGACATTAAAATTGGTTTTGTCAGGGCTAGGCCCAGGATGTGTCAACCCATCCGCAGATGCTACAGATGCTTCGGGGTCGGCCATCTGCAGACCAACTGCACAGGACCGGACAGAAGTGGTGGTGGCATCTGCATTAGATGTGGTGAATCAGGTCACAAGATGAAAGACTGCAAAAAACACCAAAATGCTGCATTTGCACGGATGCGGGGCGTACTTCTGTCGATCACATGCCGGGATCGCAGAAATGCCCAAGCACACGACAAACTACAGCAAAATGTTGAAAATTCTCCAAGGTAATCTACACCGGAGCAAAACGGCAGATGCACTTTTGACACAGATAGTAGCAGAACATGCTATAGATGTAGTGATCATCAGTGAGCAATATAAGCGAAAAGAGAACGGAGTTTGGTTAGAGGACGACACCAAGACTGCGGCCATATGGATCCCCAGTAGTAGTGGACAACAGCCACTAGAAAGCAAGATGGGAAACTGCTACGTCTACGCACGCTTCAGAGAAGTCGCAGTAGTCAGTTGCTACCTAACCCCTAGCGATGACATAAGAACCTTCCAGAATAAACTCGATGCAATCGAGGATCTCCTCATGGATCGACGGCAGCCCTTCATTGTGGCAGGCGATCTGAATGCACGAGCAGTGGACTGGGGAATGTCGTCTACTAACTCTAGAGGACGAAAAATTATGGATATGGCCGCTAGGTCCGGGTTAGTGGTAGCAAACCGCGGAAGCAGACCTACCTTCCATAGGCCGGGATGTGAAGGCACAATACCTGACGTAACCTTTGGATCCGAACACATCGTAGATCGGATAAAGGACTGGAAGATACTCGATGACTTCACGGGAAGTGATCACGAGTATATATCATATGACTTCCAAAATACCAGTCAGCAAAACCACCCATCATACTCAAGAAAGACTTATCATAGATGGGACATAAGTAAGGTGGATACAGGCAAACTACTAGCTGAATTAGATAGGCGAGAACGACAGTTCGCCGGCAGATTGACGTCGAAGCAAGTGGTCGAAAGAAGCCTAACCGCTATGGAAAGAGCGTGTAACGTATCGATGCCAAAAACGCACAGCAAACACGGAGGTAGACGACAGGCGTACTGGTGGAACCACGATATTGCAGAAAAAAGGAAAGTATGCATACAATGTAGAAGAAGGCTAACAAGGGCACGACGCTCTGGAAATTTCACGACGGAAGCGTTAGCAGCCAAGATTGCGAGAAAAGAACTGTCGATTGCTATCACACGCAGTAAGCATGACAAGTGGAAAGAGCTCTGCAAAGATATAAAAAAAGACCCTTGGGGACTTGGCTACAAGATAGTCATGAAAAAGCTGAGAAACTACGGAGCAGTGCCAAACGTGGATGATGACACGATGGATCACATAGTGGAAACACTATTTCCAGCACACATCCACGAGGCGCATGAGCGAGCACCCGTAGAGCTCGATGGTTCAGTCCCAGATTTCACCGAGGAAGAACTCAACATTGCAGGTCTCTCCCTGAAGAACAAGAAAGCGCCGGGACCAGATAATATACCGGCAGAGATACTGAAGGTGATAGCATCAGGACGTCCCACTTTTCTACTTAGGATGTATAACGCATGTCTAAAAGAAAGGATATTCCCAGAAGCGTGGAAAGAACAGAGACTGGTGCTCATTAGCAAAGGCAAAGGCGATCCCAACACACCCTCGGCTTATCGCCCATTGTGTATGTTAAACACAGCTGGGAAGCTTTTAGAAAAGCTCATAAGACCGAGACTACTCGCAGCAGTAGAGGCTGCTGGAGGACTTAGCCCTAGGCAACATGGGTTCAGAGCTGGAAAATCCACAATGGGAGCTATCGATGAAGTGGTTCAGGCAGCCAGAGCTACGCAAAGAGGAAATGCATACTCGCGCCCAGTTGTTCTGTTAGCAACGCTGGACGTTAAAAACGCCTTTAATAGTGTAAGGTGGACTGATATGCTTACTTCCTTGGAGCACCGCTTCCAGATACCGGAGTACCTCATGAATATGATCAGGAGCTATTTGCAGGATCGAATACTCCTGTACTCCACGCAAACTGGAACAAAACGATACAGAGTAACTGGAGGAGCTGCACAGGGGTCAATCCTGGGACCAGACCTGTGGAATATCAGCTACGACGACATCTTAAGACTGGAAATGCCTGAAGACACCTTCCTTATTGGTTATGCCGATGATATCGCAGCCGTCATTACTGCCAGAAACACCATAGAGGCCCAAAAGAGACTTACCCAAGTCATGATCCGCACACAGACATGGCTCAGCTCTCGAGGATTGGAGCTTGCCACCCATAAAACAGAGTTACTTCTGTTCACGGGGAAGCAGATCCCAACCGAAATAGAGATGCGAGTAAGCGGAAACCTGATAAGAACGCAGAGGACAGTGAACTATCTAGGCGTTAGGCTGGACAGTAAACTTACCTTCTGGGAACAGCTGAAGTATGCCACGCGGAAAACAGCGACAGCAACGGGGTCTCTGAGTAGACTGATGGCAAACGTTGACGGCCCGACGGCAGGAAAACGGAGACTCCTCATGGAAGCGACAAATGCAATACTGCTATATGGCAGTGAAGTATGGGCGGATACCTTAGAGGCGAATGTAAGGCGAAAACCGATGCTAGCTGTGCAACGAAGAGCAGCCTTAAGGATAACATCGGCGTACCGCACAGTCTCCGGGGCGGCCGTGACTGTGATAGCAGCAGTCATACCGGTTGACTTGCTTGCCCAAGAGCGCAAAAAAATATGGAATCTTCGGCAAAGAGGAGAATACTCAAAACATGCGGCAAAGAGCATACGACAGCAAACCATAGTCTCGTGGAAGGCGAGATGGTCATGCGAAAGGTATGGAAGATGGACCGCTAAAATAATCCCCGATCTGGAGCAGTGGATAAATAGAAAGCACGGTGAAACGTCTTTCTATTTGACACAACTACTCTCCGGACATGGATACTTTCGAAAGTACCTAAATAAAATGGGGAAAACTGCCGAATCCAGCTGTATTTACTGCGAAAATGCAATGGACGATGCAGAACACACCTTCTTCAATTGCAAAAGATGGTCGGAAGAAAGAATCGACCTGGCAGAAACAGTAGGTGAAGTCAAAGTAGAGACGTTAGTACAGCAAATGTGCAGCAGCATAGACGCTTGGAAAAAAGTGTATGACTTCGCCGAAAAGGTTCTGCGGCGGAAGAAGTATGACCTGGACGCAGGCACACAGAGGGCAACGCTCATTTAGAGCACACAATGGGGTTCCACCTTGAAGGTTAATGCGGGATATCTCCTGGTTCCAAGGTGGATTTGAGCCCCAGAAGAGGAGGATTTTTTAGTCGGTAAGCAGTTATGCAGTCCGACACACCGGTCAAAGTGACGACATGACTGACGGTGCATAAAGCATTTTTTCCTACCTCAGCCCAAAAAAAAAAAAAAAAAAAAAAATAATGGTAAAATCAATCATTGTTTTCATTTTAATTTAATATACATTTCATTCTGTTTGCTTTTCGTTTACCACCGCACAATTTACAACTGAAGGTTGGCTCGGTAGTTATCATGCTTAGAAATTTAAACCAACCAAAACTGTGCAATGGAACGCGTTTGGTGATATGAAAATTGACGAGCAATGTGACTCACGCGTCGATACTCAAAGGAAAATTTAAAGATGAGGAAGTTCTTATTCCTAGGATTCCGATGATCCCAACAGATATGCCCTTTGAGTTTAAACGAATTCAATTCCCGATTTGTCTTGCCTCGCCATGACGATCAACAAATCACAGGGCCAATCTTTGACTATTTGTAGCCTCAATCTAGAAAATGCGTGTTTTTCTCATGGTCAATTGTACGTGGCATGCTCACGTGTTGGCAAACCATCCGCATTATTTGTTCTTGCACCTGACCAAAAAACGAAGAATGTCGTTTACTAGTGCTGCAAAACCATCGATGGACCGTCCATCGATTTTGTTTGAGTCCGATGGATTAAAACATCGATAGTATCGATGGTTCCATCGAAAATAGCTCCATCATTAAAAAATTATTGAAAATTCATAGAAAAAAAATTAACTTTATAAACATTTATACTCAGTAAGTTCAAAACAATTCATGATTTTTCGTCTTAATTCATAAAAATAATATTTGTATTCCAGTTCATCACAAAACAGTCTATCCTAAAAATCAACTTTGGTTCATATTTATCTTATAACTAAAAAACAAAAAAATTTCGACTGTAATTAACAAGTTTTAAAATTTAACTTAAAATTAAAAAACAAAACTTGACTATCTTTCACAAAAGTCTTGAGCTTAAAGCTGAAATTAATTATCGTGAGATCCATTATGTGCACGCTTTAAATGCTCTTGCATATTTGATGTGTTCCCGCTCGTTTTATATTGCTGCCCACACAACAGGCATTTCACAAAGTTTTTTTCTTGGCATTTTTCAAAAAACTTCCATACTTGAGATTTCTCAAATTTCTTTCGCTTATTCGGAGGCGCAATATTTTCAGTGTGTACCGTAACAGCAAATGAAGATTCCTTATTGGCGTCTGCAGGCGAAGAAGCACTTTTATCTAAAATCCAAAACAATTAGAAAAAACGTGTTTGCTATTAATTGTATGAATCTTACCAGATGGGATCAAAAAATGTTCCATTTTCCGTGGAGGAACCGCCAACAATTAAATAATGTGGTAAATAGGTATCTATGTGCTATATGTTAAAAAATAAATCAAATTGTTTGTGTAAAATAGATTCTAATTTTAATAATAATTTGAGTATCAACGTATGAACTTACTTGTGGCTTGGCGTCTGCAGCGATCTATCGACATCGAGAAAATTCCATCGACCTATCTAACAAAAGAAAGTCCATCGATACTATCGATATTTCCATCGATGGATTTGCAGCACTATCGTTTACCACAATGTGCTTGAATGAAAATCCGATTAATAAATTAATCAGAGTGTATCCCAACCTGAACAACATAGCTTTCAACAATTTTTTACCTAGAAATAATGGATAGGCTATGCAACGTTTGCCGGGCCAGCTAGTAAAAAAAAAAATAAAACTAACTTAACTTTTTTTTTTCATTCTTTCACCACCCCTGGATTGAGTACCCATTTCACCACCAACCGCGAACTAGTGAATTGGTTACCATAAAAGGGATAATGGCATGGGTACCCATGTCACTAGCCCTCTCATGGGTACTCACATCACCACCCGTGGTATGGGTACCCATGTCACTAGCCCTTTTATGGTGACCCAATTCACTAGTTCGAGGTAAACGATGTGGTGGCGATTGACCCTATTTGCGGACATTTCATACAAGAAACAAACTGATGAAATGCATTGCTTAGGGTCAACAAAGTAAGTAATGGTGGTACCCTAGTAAGTACTGATTTCACCTGCTACGAACCAGTTACCAGTACTAGAGGGTGCTTACAGCATTTTGTTAAGAACATAACTCCAACACTAGTTCTCTTACTGGTTGTCGGTACTTCGCGTCCCGCTGAGTACTTCGGCACTCACCCACTGGTTTCTTGCCTCTCCTGGTAATGATACTTCCATATATTACATATGGGCAATTCTCTAGTGTCGAATGTGACATTCGTACGTACGTTTCGTCAAAACATTTATTTTATTTTATTTTATTCTTCTAGCACTTGGTGAGCTTTATAATTGCTAAATATGATGTTACTCAATTGTTCGTTTTCAAGATAATTACAAACAAGTAAGAACCAAGCAGATGAGCGTTACCGACTGCGGAATACTCATTCACATCCCATCAACAATTTAGTAGTTAAGTTTCGCTCTAATACTGTAGAAAATATAGTACCTTAACTTCAAAGTTTGAATGCTTACCCTCAAAAAACGTGAAAAATGTGGGCGGACATATATCCGACAAAACTTTTTGGTCTTGGGTGATCAGCCCGAGTATATATTCAATATTTGAGGTCTCTGGTATCAATAGTGTCCACAATAAGGCAGAATTTAATAAATCACTATATCTTCAGGTCCGATTTGTGACGCCCCTAATGGGCGTAAACTTATAATTTTATCTTAAGACTTAATAGAATCATAACATCAGCTGACCTGCAAATTTTCAGCGCTCTAGCTGTAAAAATCTTGGAGATACAGTTTTATCCGATTTGTCACACCCCCAATGGGCGGAGATATATCCGCCATAGCTCGTGATTCAGGGTGGTTGACGCGGACCTACATATCAAATTTCAGCTTTCTAGCTCTTCAACTAACATTATTTCCTATTTTGCCACGCCCCTAGTAGGCGGATCGGGAAAATTTTAACATTTTAGAAATCGGAGATATACACGAGTATGTGTTCCAAATTTCAAGTCTCTAGTTTCAATAGCGCCGAAATAGATTGCGTTCATACGGACAGACGGACGGACGGACAGCAATACGGACATTGCACAACCACCAATATACTCATTTCACTTTCGTGAGTATACAAATTAAAGATGGAGCTCTGTTGGTTTAGTTTTTATTATACCCTGAACCCATTTTCAATGGGAAATCAGGGTATAATGGTTTTGTTGAAATGTATCTAACAGGCAGAAGGAGGCGTTGCAGACCCCATAATATATATATACATTCTTGATCAGGGCGACGAGCTGAGTCGATTTGGCCCTGTCCGTCTGTCTGTCCGTCCATTTCTACATTTGTTCGTTTGTCCGTATGTATGAACGCGTCTATTCAAGAAGATATAAGAGCTAGAGACTTCAAATTTGTTTTCAAAATGTCCGTATTTACAGCGCGGATATCGAGTTTACCACTAAAAATCAGAGCTTGCAAATGAGAGTTGATCGTTTTTTCGTTTATGCTCTTCTTCGCATCATAACCAAAAAAATTGTGCAGACACGTCTCGCTCTGAGCGTCACTCTTTGTTTTCCTTAGAATTCGTGTGACGCACTCACATGAGTGTCGCGTAAAACTAAGACGATTTTCCCTCACACAAAGACTCTCAGCAAAAACACTTTGACTAAAAAACTCAGCAAAAATTGTTTTTGCCTTCGTGTGCATGTAAATACACGCATACATACATACAAAAAGAACGCAGCAATCGCGCGTGATTACCCATACAAACGCAACTTACCGTTTGCTTCATTTAACTCAAGCAAACGATCAGTGTTCGACTTGAGGAAACGAAAACAGAAATAACTGTCTCCCTCAGAGCGCGAGCGAGCTAAGCCAGACGCGACACAAACAGTTTCTGTCTGAGTTTTTTTGACTGTATCAGTGAAAGACATTTATTTGCAGACAACGAAAAAGTGTTAACAGTTAATTGCGAGCTATGCTAAAAATCGATAAATCTTCCCGATCTTTTTTTTTATCGATAAAAAATTTTATCGAAAATCAGCTATAAAATTATATCTCCTACATCTGTGGAGCTACAGTCTCCGAATTTTGAATGTATATTTATATGCATTTTATACAATTTCGATTTGTTTTTAAAATGTCCGTATTTACAGCGCGGATATCGAGTTTATCACTAAAAATCGATAAATCATCCCGATCTTTTTTATCGATAAAAAAACCTTATCGAAAATCAGTTATAAAATGTTATCTCCTACATCTTTGGAGCTACAGTCTCCAAATTTTGAATGTATATTTATACGCATTTTATACAATTTAGATTTTTGTTGAAATTTACCCCCCACCCCTAAATCAACCCCCTCACCCTCACCTTTGTAAATGGCGTATTTCAAATACTAGAGACTTGTGCTTTAGCATATTATTGTTATAATTACGATCTAAAAGTTTCATGAAGATCATATCTCCACAAAAAAAGTTATTAAACAATTTTCTCATAGTAAGCGTACACTGCAGCCCATGCGTGTTTATTCGTGGGTGCTTGTGTGTGTATGTGTTTGTGTGTGCGCGTGTTTCATGTGTAAGCAGAAATACTCAAAAAATGATTGAAATAGCTATTGCTCGAAGGGTTCAGGGGATCTCTTGGATGGATATCGCGCGATGCTTGCGGGACGGCGGTAAAGCATTGCTTCGCAAGCACTATGTGCTACCTTAGCCTGGGACAGCTCGTCTTCTTATTCGCTCGACTCTGCGGAGCTCCATCATCACTGTGGCCGCGAAGGTGCTTGTTAGTTCCCAAGCTTCCTCCGATTCCATCATGCCGTTGACTATGTTGTCTGCTCTGATAGAGTAGCCCAGTGCCTCTTCTAGACGACGCCTCTCCTCCAGGAACCGTCCACATATGAAAAGGATGTGGTTGGCGTCTTCCGCATGCCCTCGCCCGCACCAGGGGCACTCGTCAGTTTCCTCGTGACCAAAGCGCTTCAAATAGCTCCGAAAGCATCCATGTCCCGAGAGGATCTGCGAAAGATAGAAGTTAACCTCGCCGTGTTTGCGGTTAACCCATGGTTCAAGCTCCGGGATGAGCTTGTGCGTCCACCGCCCTTTAGCTGAGCTATTCCACTTCCTTTGCCATCGTGCAATGCTGTTCGCCATGATAGCGTTGTGTCGCACAGGCGCGTGCGAATTCCGCTCCACGGCTTCGGCGACCAGGTACTCCAGTGGCACCATGCCGGCTATGACAAGCGCCGCATCAGCGGAAATAGTCCTGAAAGCGCAGCTGACTCTGATTGCGCTCAGTCTGTAGATCGCGCAAATGTCCCGGCTGTAGCTCGGCGTTGCCATCACTCTTTACCATATTGGCGCAGCATAGAGGATGAAAGACCTAATGACGCTCATTAGAAGAAGACGTCGTTGCTGTTTAGGTTCCCGTGTGTTAAGCATAATCCTTAAGAAAGCTCTACAAGAATCAGCTGCCTTTTTATGCACATATTATAGGTGCTCGCGGAAAGTTAATCTGGTGTCTAACATGACGCCAGGATACTTTATCGCCCTCTTTGACGCAATGGTGACGCTGCCGATCTTTATATTGGCAGTTTCCACTCTTTTGCGACTGCTGACTAAGACGACTTCGGTTTTGTGTGCCGCTAGCTTGAGCCCAGCTCCTGTCAACCAGTTTCGTATCCGATTGATACTTTCGCTGCACATATCCGCTGTATCTTAAAGCTCCTTGCCTATGGCGACGACAGCTACATCATCAGCAAAGCCAATGGTGATCGCACCTGCTGGAAGTTCCAAGCGCAATACGCCGTCGTACCTAATATTCCATAGGAGAGACCTCAGCACTGAGCCTTGGGGTACTCCAGCTGACACTGTATGAGTTTGGGGACCCTCACTCGTGTTTTATACCAGTGTTCTTCCTCTGAAGTAGCTCTTTATTATCTCTTTTAGATATTTAAGGATATTATATTGTGACAGCGCATTCAGTATCATATCCCAGCTAGCTGTGTTAAAGGCATTCTTTACATCCAGGGTCGCGATGATGCAGTATTGCTTCGTCACGTGCCTCCATCTGGTGCCTTGGATGGCGGAAGTCGCCAGGCCAGCAAGTTTTTCTAGCGCATCTTTTGTTGACCGAGCCTTCCGGAAACCAATTATCATGTTCTGGCCTCAGCATTACCAATTGTGCCCAGAGACTGAATGGCCTCTGAAAAGGCCGCCGGATCAAAAGTATCCAGCCGATACGATTCCCTTTACAAGTTGTTGCCCTGGCAGGTGGCTCACCTATTGTGAACAGGAGTGCCGTATGATCGCTGCCCGTATAGCTAACGCTGTGGCTCCATGTTGCTTCTCGGAAGAGGGATGAGGTGACAAAAGTAATGTCAATAACAGATCCGTATCCGACTGAAGGTGATCTCGTGACCAATGTTGAGCAGTGCAACATCTAGTGTCGCGGCCAGGTAGCAGCTGTAGAGTCATAAGTTACCATATCGGCCACGTACGAATCCATTGAATGACTTAACATTCGAAAGTACATTCGTAGTGTTCCCACATACCCA